GGCGGGCTCCATCCGCGTGCCCGCGCAGTGCGTGGGCATCTTCGGCCACAAGCCGTCCCCGGCGCTGGTGCCGGTGGCGGGCCACTACCCGATGTCCGACGACCCCAACTTCCTCAGGTTCCTCGTGCTGGGCCCCATGTGCCGCTACGCCGAGGACCTGCGCCTGGGGCTCGTCGCCATGGCCGGCGACGCTGCGAGCGCGCTGCGCCTCCACGAAGAGGTAAGCGCACGTCGAGGTACTTGCGGGAGCGAGGTAAATGCGATTACGACAATTGCGGGTTAACCAAAAAACTGAAATCGATTGGCGGCGGCGATTAGTTTGGGCGGCAAGGTGTAATGGTTAGCGTATCGGACTGTTATTCCCAAGTTGGCGGACTCAAACCCGATTGAAGCCGTGGATTTTTAAGGGCGTAAAAATCCTTCGCAGGGGAAGTAAAGCCGGCTATCCCATGTTCGTAGATTTACTTGCATGTAAAAGCTCCACAAGCCTAAATGACGCCTCTGAGCTAAATTCAAATCGCCTGTTTTGTCGCCCAAGAAATACCTCGATTCTCCGCTAGTTGGTGAAAGGAGCGTAGCGAAAATTGCATGGTCAGATGGAAGAGCGGGCCTGATGGCCCGAGTCTCGCCACGTAATATAAGGCAATTAATTCAAAAATAGTTTTATATCAATTAATAAATAATTTCACTCGATAATTTTAATTCAAGTATTAATTTTCGGGACATACCAAAAACTAGTGATGCTACAACAGTCCCTACTTTCTCACCTTAGTAACGGTAATAGCACGTAATATTATGAGTATGCTCACAATTCCTGTCCATGTTATCATTTATAAAACGCATTACAAATCGTAGAACATGAGGTGTGAAACTAATTCTTTTGAACCTAATATCATCAACAAATACGACAACAAAAATTCATACAGACATTATCATATCCCAACAATAAGAAATAAATCTCAGAATTTTTAACTGCCGAGTCGCAGCACGGCGTTGCTTATGTATTACAGTCTGATATTTGAAAAACTAGCACATGAAGCGTTGGAAATTCGAATTTGCAAATTTCAAAGATACACAAATATTATATTAAACTAAGCATATTTTTTTTAAAATTGTACTTGATCTATTTAAAAGAAACGATTTTTACTTTCCCGTATACGTACGTATTCACTGTTATTATTGTACAGACGTTTCGTCAATTGTGATTTCAGACCATTTTACACAATATTCTCTCCCGTTCACTGATCAGATACCATTGCCACTATAAGGGAACTGAAGTATTTTTTTTAGTAACTGAAGTCATTTTGGTCTGTTTTCATGGCAATGTAAAATGTAAATATTGCTTTGTTTCTGTATAAATTGAGAATCCAATATGAGGCCAAAGAAACCATAATTCTAATGTTTTTACAAAAATAACTTAAAAATATAAATTGCTTGCCTCTTGTAAATAAACAGATGATTGGTTATTCAACACTGTGCTAACATGAGTCGTAGAGCAAACCCTCGATCTTATCTTCTTCACACAGACACGGATGCGGTCAGGAAGTTCCAGTGTGTTGCTTATCTACAGAACGTCTTTGTTCGTTGCATGCAGTACTTACATTCATTGGCAAAAAGGCTATAATGTTCTGTTATGACAATAGACTTCATTACGAAAAAATATATTTCTTAAATATTGTTTTTGTAGGAAAATGGTAAAAATGTTTTAACTTCAATTGCAAGTTTAGAAAATTCAAAGAATTCAACGAAAATTGGATCTGTTCCAATTTTATAAGCGTCCATTGCCTCAGGTAAGTTCTCCCTAAAATCGAAATATCTGTTTCAAATTCAAGGGGCCGCGACATCAACCAAATCGTTTGAGGAATATTAATATTAACACAAAGTTTACTACAGGTTAGCCGCTAGTGTTGGTCACAGATAGACGACGGACGTTTGGCCGTAATCTAACTTTCCGATAACAAGAACCCACAAAACATGAGCTCTGACTACTGCACAACGTGTTAAGAGAAAGTTATATAATAAATGTAAGAACAAGAATTATCTAGTTTTCCGCTAACAGGGACCCAGAAAACGAGTGTTTTTGTCCAAAAATCGCCAGAATTTTATAAAATTCAATCAAACTGTTTTGCTACCCAGTAATCATTTTGAAGCAAATAAAATAAGTAACGAAGACTCTGCATTTTCTAGAAAACGGAAATTTTGGGACAATAAATAAAAAATTAAATAAATAAATAAATAAATAAATAAATAAATAAATAAATAAATAAATAAATAAATAAATAAAAGCACCTTCATTTTTCAATATTAAGAAACGGCGTGTTTTAACCGAAAAAATTAAGGAACGCGTAAATAAGGTAAATTATTCTTTGCAAAACAGACAACCTGATGGTCACCCATGTGCGTAGGTGGACGTCGGGCAGCTGCGTGTGTTCTTCATGGAGAGCGCGCCAACCACGTGGCTGTCGGTGCCGACGGACAGGGAGATCCGCCAGCGCATCAGCCGCGCCGCCCGCTACCTCCAGGAGCACCACAAGGCGGACGTGCGCAAGGTAAGGTTTCCCTCGCGTGCGCTGTTTCAAGGTTCGCCCTTCCTCCGCTACAATCTGGGAATCTTGTACACTGTATTTTTTTCGCGAAGTTAACAAGGATCGCGACTGCAATCCGAGCCCGAGGAAAAAAACCAGTTCCCTGCGACGTGTTAAAATGCCGCATGATAATTATTTCCTGAAAAAACGCGTTTGTAGTTCGTCTCGTAACTTATATAACTTGTTTTCTACGTACTTCTTAACCTTCGTCATTATTAAGCAGCTCGAGGTTTGAAAAACCTGTGTGACAATTTTTTATTTGAAAAAGCTCAATGATGTATGTACTATATGTCGTTTTTTTTTATTTCTTCCGTAAGAAAATAAATGTATTTTTAGCTCATAAATATTAGGTTCAGCATTATTCATGTACAAAATACCCAAGCTCATACTTCAAAGAAGGCTACATCACAACGTTAGAGATGCCTGGAAATTATAATGTATCCTTAATGAAAAGGAGAAAGTCCTGATCCTAAAAAGGGAGTCCCACTAGAGCCCAAGAACCTCTTGAGATATTACTTTCCTCAATACATGCTGTAAAATAATGTCGAACCTCTTGTACGAATGGTTTCTTCCATTCAAGGAGGAAGTGATGGGCTGAGGAGGAAGAGGTTTACGGATCTGTGAAGATTCCGGACGGGAAGGTCAATTACAAGTAGTCCAAAAAATAATTGAATATTGATTAAGTATATACAATCTCTTTAAATATTTAAAATCTGCATGTTATACTATTTCAAGATAAATACTTTATCAGGCAATAGAAGAGTTTGGAATTCCTCTTAAACTCGAAAATCTTACAAGGAAAACGCTGAGAAGACTTAATGTAGAATAAAAATGTTTCACCGACTCTCGGAAGCTTTTAAAAAAAAACAATTCTGTATGCTATATAAATCAGCTTTAGTAAAAGTAATGCACATGCATACTCTAATGGAGGAACAATATATAACAAAGTGACACAAATTTCGACGCAGGTGACGTAGTAATAATGTCAATGACTAACAACGAGAAACGATCCTAAAACTGTAGGGGAGAGTCAGGAAGATAGGACTGTCACTTAATGACGATAAGACAAAATGTCTAGAAGCCACACGAGAATCAATGGGATAATTTTTCTTAGCAGGGCAATACGTATTCGAAAGAGCTATACGTACACAGTTTAAATATCTCGAGTCTATTATCTCTAAAAATAACATCAGTGTTGAAGTTAAAAATAGAATAGCTAAGACAAACACTTGATGTTTTGCTTTAAAAAATCAACTTATAATAAAATTAATAAAAGCATTCACAAAAGTTAAACTGCACAAAACTTCAATTAGCCCAATATAAGGGTGTGAATGTTGATCTCTAACCAAAAACTTTGAACAGGTTCACCAAACTTTTGAACGGAAACTTTTGAGGGCGCCATATCTATCAGGAAATACTGGAGAAGAATGGAGGCTAAAATGCCATTCTGAATTGTGTCATAGATTGAAAGTTATACGCATAATGAAGGCGTCAAGACTCCGATAGCTGGGTCATGTATCTAGAATGGCAAGCGCCAACATATGCTGGAAACTTACCGTTCCCTGACTAAACCAGCTAGGAGGAATGCAAGACCTTCTATTAGATGTTCAGAAGATATCGAAAAAGGCCTGAAACTACCCGGGAGTGGGAGAAGAAAAACCTTAGACTAAAGTGTCTTGAGGAAGATTATTTGGAAGCCAACACCTATCCTTGACTGTCGTTCTAGTGAACAAGAAGAAGAAGGGGGAGGGGGAGAAGAAAATATCGTGCGCGGTCCGTGATCCGTTTGTTGGGGTACTGCGCCGGCATTCGCCTGGCGTTGATCGGAGAAACCACGCAAAACTACTGATCACATCAGCCGGCCGCTAGCATTCTCCTCCAGACAGCGACTGAATTCGATCCAGCTATGAAACTTATGTTGAAAATCTGTCCCCGCCGGGACTCAACTCTTATGACCTCTCGGTCAGGGGCGCTACAGTGACAACAATTCCGTATTTTCGATTTGCCCCCCTCCCCCTCCCATACGCGAAACCCTTTCCGTGAATAGCAACCCTCAGCTGTGTTTACGCGTGTGTTTGGAGAGCGCGCGCAGCCTTGCAGAGCCCGCAAGCAGTCCCTCGCTCCACCAGACGCCTCGCCCGAGGCGACGCCGCGAGAGTAGGCGCCGACGCCTCCTACCAGGCGTCGCGGCGCGGCGCTGACGTCACTCCGGTGAGCGCGTTGGCCACGGGTGAGCGCGCCGAGCGGCGCCACGGCCTTGACCCGGTTGCCACCGGGCACACTGGCCCAAGCGCGCGAGCTGCAACGCACTTCTTAACGCATTAAACGCTTGCCTCAGAAGGCGTAACTGGGATTAAAATCTGTAATATCGAAAGTTTTACAAACTGCACGGGGCAAGAAATATTGCGGTTTAATAAAAAGAAAAAGTAGTTATTTATGAACCCCAGCCCGAAGGCCTTTATGTCGCCAGAGATCATTAGAACCAGTTAAGACCCGCGGTACGATTTTATTTCGACTTTTAAATCCCTCTCATAATTTCCTTTTAAAATACCCTTTCATAATTCCCTCTTTGTATCATTTCGTACCTGGATGACTGCAGAAGATACCCCCATTTAAAAAAAAGGATATCGGAGCTAACCTAGAAACAATCGAGTAATCAGTGTTCTAAATACCGGTTATAACGTATATGAGAGATGCTAACGAGATGCTAAACAATAAATTAAAAACTTTTTGTGAAGGATATCTATTAAATGAACAACACATACTCCGACAAGGCCGTTCGAGCTCTGATAGCATCTTCATTCTGAGGCAGATAATTGAAAAGAAAAGAGAATTAATTTGGAAACCCCTCTTCTCTTCATAGAGATTGAAAAAGCTTTTGATATAGTGGTAAGAAGAAATATACGGCAAATATTAGAGAGAAGATGATATCCCAAGCAAATAATAGCAAGTATAAAGTCATTATATAATAAAATAGGTAGTTATAAATACGGACTCTCCCCAACAATTTTTAAAATATACGTAGACGACGTACTTAAAGTATGGATGAGAGAATGTTCAGATGAAAGCTATATAGGAAATGGGAATTATTTGTATACTCTTTTATTTGCAGAAGGCCTGATTTTAATAGCTAGAAATAAAAATGAACTCCAGAAAAATGCGCATATATTGAGTATTATCTTGGAAGATTATATCCTCAAAATCTCTATCACAAAAATTAAAGTAGTGGCTTTCCAAGGCAAATTCTCCGTCAGATCAAAAATATGTATTCACAATCCAACATTGGAGTAAGTAAGTACTTGTAACTACCTTGGCTGCAATTTGAGCTACGATTACATCAATATCAAACTCCATTGCTTCCAACAAATGCGCGGCAAAATAAGACGAACGCTCTCGAAGAAGACAAGAAGAGAGACGCAACTAAAAGTGTACAAAGCAATGGCAGTACCAGCTTTACTGTCCGAGGGGAGCGAGTCATAGGTATTGACAAGAAAGAGAAGAAGTAATACACAAGGTCCCGAGATGAGATTTCTAATATCAGTAAAACACTGTAGCCTCCTAGTCCAGTTCAGAAACGAAAACATTCGAAAAGTCCACAACATTTTCTCCATATTAGATAAAACATAGGAGAAACGTTCAGCGTGGTCACAACACCTACAAAGGATGGAAGGTGATAAGCTCACAAAACTGGCCTACCATAATCGACCAGCTGGAAAACGAGATCATGGTCGACCACGCCAACGATGGAATGAAGTCGAAACCCGCCTTCTGGACTAAACCATGAAGGGAAGAAGAAAACGTATTGCGTCTCATTGATACCACTAACATCATGTCGGCTGCTGCAAACGTCTGCGCCACAGGGCCGGCTTATTATTATTATTATTATTATTATTATTATTATTATTATTATTATTATTATTATTATTATTAAAAAGTTGGTGTCATCTGACCCACTGTAAACCTCCCGCACCGGTCGGCACGCACTCTGGGTGGAACGAACGCACGAACACGCACACCCACCAGAACACACACACGTACATACGCACGCACGTCATCCGCAGGCTATTATAAAATCGCTATCTGCAGAGAAGGCCCGCTCCAGCGTGCCAGCAGCGGTGGAGGTCGCCTCCAAGAACGCGTACGAAGTTAACGACGCGAGAAGTGCCTCTTTAGCATTGACAGCTCACGTAGCTAACATCATGATGTTCAGTGTCATTTGCCCTCTGCTCAAGTAAAATGAACGGCAATGGCCCCTGGTGTCGAAACAAATCAGACATTCTCGCATTATTCGTAGTTCAACTTAGTTGAGTCAGAACATCAATTGATATGACTACAGTGCCTCCGACCGGGAATTCTAGAGTTCCAGTCCCCACGTGGCAGGAGTTTTCGATGCTTGCTAAATAGCTAGGTCGAATTCATCCGCTCTCTAGGGGAGCATTCAAGCGACTGGCTCTGATCAGTAGCTTTCGTTGTTTCTCCAATACCAAGAGAAACTTCCTCACGTATCTGAAAATTAGTCCTTTTCCACACACATTTAATAAATGTACAGAAGTCACATCCGGTAAAAGAACTCATTATTATAAATTTCCAGCTAAGATAATTCTCCCCAGTATTCCCTAAATTGATTTTTCAAGTCAAATTTTCACATTTCTATTTCTGTTTACATGTAATCTCTTTGCCAGAGTAGGCAATTAATGGATGTGTCCTTTACCTCTTAATAACAGTTTTACTCCAATTCTTAAGAACAGATATTTTGTTAACAGTCATTAAGGGAAACGCTCGTTTGTTACAAACTCGAATAGCAAGATGAGCAAATCTCGAAGAGATATGCTCAATAAGTCAATTTTGAAAAGAGCCAAGTTTACTTACGGAACTACAACTTTTTAAACAGAACTGAACGTGGAATTTGATATTGTTCAAATATTACACTAAATGGATGAAGGGGAAAAAATTTTTTTCTTTGATTGTGGGAATAACTCCATTTGAATAGATATTACACAAAATCCTTTCCAAGAAATTTTGATGCCCTGGAGATATTTTTTCTGCAATACTAATTTATTCATAGACCGTAAACGGGAAGTAATTTCATTTAACATTTACAATTTTTAAGCGTTATAAACATGAATATATCCATAAACATTGGGGTTTATAACTTCTGTTGTCTATGTACTTGGATTGAGAAAAATGTACTTGTTTCCAGGCCACCCAACCTTCCCACGTTCTCATCATTGCAGTTGCCTACGAACCGTCCAACCGTCCATGACAAGGTTATCGAGTTACAAGGTCTGAGATATTGCCAAATTTACCTACCTTGAGACTCCTTTCCGTGGGATTCTGAATAATGAGCACCGTTCCTCTGACGATGGAAATCTTTGCGTGAAGTGGCCTTGAAAGAAAGCGCTCTCTGCCAAGCAGATAAAGTACTTAAGACAAAACTCCATTATTTATTTATAATAAAGTGTCATTCATACGGGGAGGTAATTAGAGGGTATCTAGGCCCCAAAAATTTAAATATAGCTCTGGGCTGCAATAGTGGCACAATTATAAAATACGAATTTTGAGTTAATTCTGTCGATATATTTTATTGGTCTTCCTTCCAGCAGCAACAGCAGCAAGCATATCTTTCAGTACAGTATTCCACCAACAAATGGCAGAAGTGTGAATGCAAGAATGATGCATTTCAATACAAGGTGAAAACTTCAAACTCATTTATCTGAACACCTGATTTTTTGAGTTGTGTCACTATTACAGCCCATGAGCGAAATATTAACTACACTGGCGAGGAAAATTATCTCCCAGGGTAATACTCCGCTTTCTTTCTCTCGGTATAAGACCATTGAGTGTTGTTTACAGAAAAACTTGAGTCATCGACCCTTCTTGCTTTTTTATTGGCCTCCTCCTAATCTTTTAATTAGTTTGATTTGAAAAGGCAAGGAATTCATTGTAATATATCAGCAAAATATTTACATATGTGTTTATTTTTCAAAACCAGAAAATAAAAATGTGAAAATATTTAAAGTAAAAGATTCACGATGGTGCGAAAAAACTCCATTCAGGAATTTATAGATGATTAAGCTCAAAGTCGCCGATCAGACCTTAAAATCGATTTGGAGAGATTGATCGAATACTCTACCTGTACAGAAGTAATTGAACTCTTGCCTTTACCGCACAATCCGTGTTTTGTATGAAATATAAAGTACGTACGTAGTATGTTCATCATTGTTAACGAGCAGCCGGAACGTACGTGTAGCGTCATAGCTAGTGACGGATGGGGAATGGAGCCTCCTAGATCCAAAATAGTTTGCGATTGAACTCAATTTGCTAAAAATGAGTACTACATATCAATCGCATCACATGGAAAAGGATTATTTTCATTCTGGCCTGAGCGGGCGGGATATCATGAATAGGTTCTAAATTCTCCTTTCCTAGCATAGGAGTGTACATTTCCGGTCGGGATGAAGGAAGGTGGAATCGGAATGGTGTCAGAAATATTCATATTTCGATCGAGTCACGCGTAGCCTCTACGGAAAATGAGTGAGCACGTGGCTGCATTCCTTCTGCTTTGCAAATATCCGTTCATCCTCGAAGGAGTGGCAACAAAGTCGCAGCTTTCCAATCACGCAACTTCCGAGAAGCAGGGGGGAAGAGTTGGTATTACATTGCTTTGGTTCAAAGACAGATTAATCCACAAACGTTCGACTCCGATTGTAGTAAACTTCAGGGTACTAAACTTTTTGGCTCACTATATCCGTGGTACACTATATCCGATGATGTCAAAATTAAATAGAATTTCTCCGTAACTATTGATTTTATTCATATAGGGATACAGCAAAATGCATTAACAGCACAAACTGAAAATTTTAATACCTTCATTTGTACTTAAGAATCAATTATTTTCAATTTTTCCTTCGTACTATTTCATTAATAGTTTCTCTAGATCCCTCTTCAAAGTTCGTGCTCACTCCATACCTGATTCTGCATTGTCCTTGGTGTTAAGGTATCCCTTCAATACCTCTTGCACTGTAGGAACACCATTCCACTCTCCGAAGGCCCGTTTGCTCGCCCAATTATACGACATGTTTTCGATAGCGGAATGGTGCAAGCTGCTATTGAAACTGATCGGTTTTCAACGCGACACGGCGGATATCGCCAGGGTGTTGCAGTCTACGTAGAACTCAACGCACCGTGTCCCGAGGAATCCAGATCAATATCACAAGTGTCATAAAATGAACAACATTGCATAAAATCCCTAAACCGGAATTTTTTTGTGTTCCGATCGATTTTGGCTTGGACAGATTTTACTGTATTACAATTAAGCGTTTGTATTGTAAAGCTGTTTAATAATAGAAAGCGATAAACATCAGGAGCCAACTACCTTTCATTTAAAGCAAAAATCACTAAATTTGGTTGAGTAGAAAGCTCAAAAGTCTTTCTGCAAAAAATCTTAGTGTTTTAAATATATTTATTGTTGCAATTTTCTAAATGTTAGAAATTAATAAAAATAGGAATATGCCACGCATATGCAATGCAAATTTCTTCTATACGAGCAAACATTTTGAAAAAAATAGCCATTTTCCAGAAAATGACATTTGGGGCTACCAATATACCACCAAAAATTAAAATATCTTAATGTCCCTCGGAACAGTACAAGTGAATCCTACTTTAGACGTATTATCAAGTTTCAATTTAAAAACTATTGAACTCAATAGTTATTGAATGCCGATATATTGTACATGTAAAAATATATTTACATGAAATTGTGTTCCCTATTGATACCCTTTGTCACTAGTATTTTCATCAGTGGTATTCATTCTGATAGTAACTGCTTGTCGATAGCCTTTTCATTGAATTGATTTGCAATTACATCCAGCCGATGACCTTGCCAATCCATTAGCAGCTAATGTCTCGTCGAGGGTCGGCTTGCTTATTCACAGAAGTTGCATAACTCTCGGCGCAACTTTCTATTCCCCCAAGAGGGGCGCGACCAGTGTCTTTTGAGGTCTGCGGCGTCGGATTTTTGTAGCAAAATTTAAATGTCAATTATTTTACAACGACTGTGTTAAGTAGTTCGAAAGAATGCAATAAAGCCTACGTCACGTCGCACAAACTTTCTTACAACTCAGTTTAAAACAATGTCGTTTAAATAATACTCAAATAAATGTATCATGAAAAGTATAGAACGTTTTGAAAAATAATTGTAACGTAATCTATAGACATGACTTATATATGGAACGTTTCAAAATAATTACTAGGGGTATTAACATCGGTTAAAAAAATTGGTAAAGGGTCAAAAACAGTCACAATAGTTATGATGCTCAGCACTTTGACAATGTCCCAAACGTTCAACAAGTACAAAGTGAAATACGTATTAATAAGACTCGTATATTCATATTAATATGACTCGTATTAATAAATTAGTGGTGATACAACAGCACATTCTTTCTCGTATTGTTTTTTTAATTTGCAATTAAAAATACAGATAGGTCTACGAAAATGAGACCTGCGCCATTCGATTAAGCGTCCCTTATACTATCCAAGAAACATAGTTCAAGAAACAAATTGAGCGATTTTTGAGAATTTTGTTTATAAATTAGATAAATTTTAATCACAAATTACACCTAAACTGCTAGTTTCTTTAAAAAAAAAGATAACTGGTTTTTTTTTAAAACATAAGTAGTATAAGCTTTGAATTGTTAAAATTTTGCAATTTCCGAAAATAGAGTTTCCTTTGAAACATTTTTTTCTACGGTTTTTATCCAGGCGACAGCCGGTTACTCTCTACGTCTCGATAGAACGTATATTCAACTGTACTCCAAACACCAACACTTGCTGGCTTCTGTAATCTAGAGTCAGCAGAGCGCGAAGCCTTCACCACAATACCTACATGAGAGACAAGGGTCAAACAACCATGCCCAAGACCCGCGACCCTCTAGACCGAAGAGCTGAGTCGATAGATGCTTTTAGCAATCTAGACCATCAAAGTCGATCATTTGAAACGTAGTAGGACAAATTTGAAGAAAAAAATTGGAGCCGTTTTCGAGAAAATAATGTTTTAATTTTTTTTCAAATTGCCAATTCTCGTAAATTTCGCATATCAGTCGAAACAATTTATTGATTTATTTAGCGTCATAAAACAGTAAAAAATCTGTGTGCAACATACAGCGGTGGAAGGTGCAATCTGTGTACATTTTCTTGAGCTCTGGAATCCCTACCCTGTCCCATATTATGAATAAATATATAACTTGACATATGAATTAAGGTTGGAACGACAGCTTTTGGCAATATTGGATAAGAAAATATCAGTTTCCAGTGCAATAAAACTTTTTTCAAAGGCAAATGCGCAACAAATTTGGGATATCTTCTATGGTTCCCTATGTGAACAAATTGGCTAGCTGCCGTGAGAACATGGAAACAATAATTGGAATAACTTCTTAAATTTCCCAATGAGCTCAAGAAAATGTGTGCAGACACTGAAACTACATCTACTTCCAGAAGCAAAACAGACTCAGCATTTGATCCATGGAAACTGGACGAAAAACCTGGTCGAGAAGGAGATGAGTAGTTGTTATTGTTGGCACGATTGTTTATAGTTCGACGAGATGAAATGAAAAATAATTAAACGAAACGTCAGGAAGATTTAAGATTCTTTCACGATAATTAATTCTCGGTATTTGATGTTCTTCATGCGCATATGAAAGCCAACATTCAATTCCAGTTACCGAATACCTGTGATGTTTTTGTTTTCATAATTTAGTTAAAGAATTTGACTTTATTATAATGTTAATGCACGTAACGATTTGTGTTCCAGACTGATATTCAAGACTTTATCGACGGTGTAGAAATAGGAGGATCTGCGTTCTTTGCAATGTCGGGCATTCCAGATCTTCTGATAGATCCTGTTAACCCAAAGGTAAGATAAATAGTTATTTTTATCACCGATAGATGTAGCGCGTTACATATTTTCAGAAAGTTTCCGTTGGTCATCAACAAAAATAAAACGCAATTTCATGGAAAAACTTTATTGTACTTTTATGTACACATATTGCATTAGTTTTTCACATAACAGCCAGCAGAATTGGTATATTTTTTGTAACGGATCAACATTTGTATACCAGTGTCAACATTTGTCCCCCTCTGAACAATGAAGAAATGTCGATCCGTTTAATAAATCAATGTGACATGCTATAAATATTTTTGTTCATAAATAGCTCGTTCTGTACAGGTGTAATGCTCATAACTCCTACTTAGAGAATTCTCTTTTGAAATGAAAGACAACTGGTACAGACAAACTCTTAAAAAATCATGTTAACTATTTTTTATGTTAAGTATTAAAAATATTACAAAATATGTATAATATTTTATTTACGTTGAAGGAACGTCCTTTGTTACTTTAAAATTTATTGTTATAGAAAATATTGTTAGTTTTGTTCCAATACTCTATGCTCCCTTCCTTGCCACAGAATCGCCGCAACCTCTGGTTGGAGAGCTTCAAGTGCATCATTGGCCAATCTGACATCTCACCTCAAGCAATGGGCTTCACCTTTCTGCAAAATGTCAACTTGTTTATTCCTCAAAAACGAATGTCCTACTACCAACAGATGGGCAAGGCGCTAACGGCCAAGTTCGTGGTAAGCACTCACCTCTAATGTATCCTTCATCAATCATAAATCGAAGGTAATTCCTCGTTTGGTTTATATGATTGATGCAAACTATATTGGGTTTTTTGGTTTGTGCTTTTCTACATTTGTTAATTTTTTTAATGTACATCTAGGATATGTTTGTAAAATGGTAAAGCATGTTTCCTTCCTTGAATGAACGATGGATAGCTGTGAGAGCGTAGGCTTCCGCGGCCGGAGTCAGTATTTACTAGGCTGTCCGGGTGACGCCGCGTCCACGGCGAAGGTGCCGACGTTTCGGTCGCCATTCTGCGACCTTCCTCCCTGCCCTGAGGCATTGCGCCTTGAGGAAGGTCGCAGAATGGCGACCGAAAGGTCGGCACCTTCGTCATGGACGCGGCGTCACCCGGACAGCCTAGTAAATACTGATGGATAGCTGTGTTCGTAACATTTGGAGGGAATAAATCGTTGATACCAAGGACGACATGTGGGGGTTCATCCGGTTATTATTTACGTCAATTACGAGCAGCTTAGAGCCAGAGGCCCACGTATTCTTCCGCGGCCCCTACTGATAATGACGGATCCCGCACAACACACACACAGCAGTTCACGGGCTGTTACTATACGTATTATGCACAATCGTCTTTTTAAATTTGATCCCTCTGGTCCGTAGATTTTATAAGCCCTTTCAGAGCCTAATCGAAACTAAACGCGTGCTTTTTTTGGTAGTGTTTTTTTTTCGTGCGTCCTACATTGATTTAATTTTCCCAAAATTGCACGAATTAGCACGCAAAACATCCGGCCCATCCAAGTTTAAATGAAGACAAATGCCATATACAAGTTTCGCATCTTGGCTGCCACATGGCAGCAAGGCTCTCTGGGCGCGAAATAGCGTAAATATAAATCATTGTTTTATTCGTATTACATACGCGCAGAACAAAACAACGCGCGTAATACTCGTATTCTTGCGAGCTACCAACCTTCAAAATAATCCTTCAAGGCGTTTACGCAATTTTGCCAACGATGAGGAAGGTATTGAATACCATTAGCTATGTGTGATGCGTCTATGCGCGCTATCTCTCGTCGATGCGCTGTTAGGCTGTTCTTCCTGTTTGCAAACCGCTTCCCACGCAGCGCCACCTTCATTTATTGGAATGAGATCAAAGTCGCACAGACTGAGATCAGGGGAGTACGGAGGGAGTTCCAAGATCTCCAACTCCCACCGCCGCACAAGGTTATGGACACAGCTGCAATGGGGCTTGTTGCTTTCCCACGGAGGAGTAGAAGCCCTGAACGTTTCCTCCGCAAGGTACAACGCAGAGAGTGCAGCAGGAATAATCTGTACGTGGCTGTAACAGTTTGACCCTCACGCACAGGAAACACACGAGAATACCTTGACCGTCATTAGACAGAATAAGCATGACCTTCGTCGGTGATGGATTCTGTCGAAACTTGTTTATTGGTGGTGAACCACGACGCCGCCATTCATTTGATTGCCTCTTTAATTCTGTTTCATACGCTCGTTGCCCACGTTTCAGCAATTGCAAAAATGCGATTCTACATCTCATTTCCTTTATGTTGGAATCGCTTCCAAATTAATACTGCATGTCTCGTATCGAGTCCAATTTTACTCCTCAATTAAAGCATGTGGCACCCACTTTGCACAAATCTTGCGCATCTTCAAGTCATTCCGTCAAATTCGGAATAGTGTCGATGCAGACATACCAGTGTATGTGATTAATTCCGCCATAGCCCAACGCCTTTCATCTGCCAAACAGTGTTCGATAGCAGCCACTTGCAGTTCTGAGTGAGCGGACGCTGGGCGCCTGCTTCTCGGCAGGTCAACAGTTGGTACGCGTGCACGTTTGAATGCATTCACCCAAACAGTTCGATAGGGCAACGCCCTTCCGCCCAATGCTTCTCGTAGCACACACAAGCATTTCTGCCACGCATCATCTTCCTTCCCGCATTGCGCTGAGAGTCGTTGAGAGATCTGACAATACTCTCGCTAGTCATTATTTACTCTTTCCTTTATATTGTAGAACCAGATACTGTGTGAGGGGCCTGCCTCAAAATAAGGCTCGTAATACATTTAGCTTGGAAGCCCTTTCCTAACTTCTCTGAAGAGCGTTTTGTAGGTTTATCGTTCTTTAACACACTGAAATGTGCAACTAGAACATTTTACTTTATTTCCTTTCCGGACTGCGAGTGAGTTTAGAATCTCTAAAATTAGGAGATCTATTACAATTGTTTAGGAAACGTAAAAACAATTTTTACAATATCTTTAGAATTTTAAATTGAATATTTTCATAATTCGTTTGTGCTCATCAAGGGTGAAATTATATCTTATGAAAATTCTATACAATATTTTTTAATACATCAATTTCATCAAAGAATATAAATATATTCAATAAGCATTGTTATGAATACGCCCGATTCCATTAAGTACGATTTTGAAGCACGTCACAATAAGAATGTGCCTAGAGGGGTGCCACCTGGACCCTTGCTTTAAAAAAAACTTAAATTAAACTTAAAAATTAATATTAATAATTATATTATTAATTAAATAATGTATTAATAATAAATAAATAATTAATAATTATTAACAATTAATTAATAATTAAATAATTAAATAAATTAATAAAAATAAAAAATAATAAAAATTTTTAAAAAACCTTAAACTCTTGCCCTTAAACCAAATGTAGACAATAAAAACGCGAGGCTGCAGTGGGGAAGTTGAAGATGGCGGTGGATGCAAGAGAGAGGACTCTGGAAACGTAAAACGATTGCAGGCGGTGGCGACATAGGTGAGACCAGGGAGAAAGTTGCCTACGAACTACCGACTCGAAACTGGAAGAATAGCATCAGGGTACGAGTTTTCAAGCCTTCTTCGCTCTAATGTAGCATCTGTGCAGGACCTTGAATAACTTAGGGACCATGTCCAAATTACGAAACACATGGATGAGGAGATGAACAGCCAATAACCTTTCAAGAAATTATTAATTCTCCTTTTTATTACTCTTGACGGAGCAGCTTCTAAAACTACTGGTGTTTTCTCGCATTATTTCTAGCTTTCGCGATTTTTTAATATTCAGAGAGTTAAATGGAAATGAGATCTCTGTCTTTTTAAATTTTTCTTCGCTCTATGCGCAGAAAAATGTCAAGAAAAACTTCGAATTTGATATCCAAGAAATACTTGGATCACTTATCAGGTACCAAATTTTCTTGAATAACTCCTCTCTCTCAAATACGCAAATACCCCATGACTCCTTTCAATAAATGAAATAGTTCGATAGAGTTTTCTTCTCAATTATTAAATTGTGTTACTATCCAATTGTTATACTATTTTGTACTACGTGTACATAACTAACATCTGAATATATTTTCCCCTTCATCACTTAAAGATTCCATCGCGACTTTTGTCTAAAAAATGTTAATTTAATTATTATTCATTATTAATTTATTTTTAAATAAAATGGTTTTCTTTCTTTGTTGTATATGTTTTGTGATATCCTGATGAGGAGAGGGGACATAAACATCCAGGAATTCCTCTTGATTATACGGTCGTTTCTTAACAGTAAAACTAAGTTCCAAACGTATTTCTTCCCTCTTGAACATTTTTTTCCACATGTAGTTATGTCACCAAACTAAGCCACAGTCAGCTACTTTCTGATAGTTACTCCGAGCTGTATATTATTTAAACGCGGCATACATTTCTTCTGTAATTTTCACAAAGACGTTTGTCCTATGATAATTCTCTTCAATAATTTTTTTTGAATATGTTGTGTATGTTCCACTCTTGGGCATCAGTTGTGTTCAATCATCACGATTGCATCTGCGCAGGAAATGTTGGGTGAGGATGGCGTGTTCCTCTTCCCCACCTTCCCCACGGATGCCAACTTTCACAACGAGATCTTCGTCAACATTCCAGGCGTCCAGTACCTGATGATCTTCAATATTCTGGGATTGCCCTCCACGCATGTGCCCCTCGGCCTCAACAAGAATGGTATGCCCATCGGCCTCCAGGTAAGCGAACACGCGAGGGCAGCAGCATACGGGGGTACACGAGCCACTAAATAAAACGGTTAGCTGCGGAAGATCTACTGCGAAATGTGAGGCACGTTCAAAAGTTATTTATCCCCCAAGGGTCCTAATGATCGAGCGGTGACAAAAAATCCCGAAGGTATTTTGTCGCTCGAGATCATTACGACCAGTTAACGCTCGTGGTACATGAAATATTTTATTTTTTACTTCATTTTAATGATCCAAATTTACATATTTATTAAATAAGTAATGTCAACTTCACTCGGTTTGCCATTTCGTATTTTCTTGTCATAATTTTCTTCATAAGAGAACATGTAGAATCATTGAACAATGTTCATATTTCTCTCGAAATCACGATCCTCTCGACCCAAGTAAGCTTCGCATCGAAGGAAATAACAATGTATTAGTAAAAAATAAAAATATTATTTGTTATCTTTACTATCATATAAAAATAATTTTATTAAAATTTAAGAAAAGATTAAGCTCGCATTTAAACAGTAGAGATAGTATTTTTCACAGTAAGAACATATCATTAGATTAGATATTCAACATGCACTGTTCACTTGCAGAACGAATGGAGAAAGAAACGTGTTTATCTTAAGATGTTGAATAGTTATCTGACTTTCTATCAATCATTCCTTTGGTGATAACCCCAAATCTAAGTACCCAGAACCCGCGATTGGTTTTAAGTTCAAGTGGGTAGTCGACCCGGGTGGGGGTCCCCCTCCTCTTTTATCTCCAACCAAAAATGTTTATAAAGGCGAAAATACAAAACATATTTTTTCAAATTGTCATGTTTATTACTAAATTGTTATCACATCTATTTTGTGTAACTTCAGTAGTTCATTTTTGCAATGCAAAAACAGTGCTGCGCTTTTCATTTTTTCATAAAAACTCATTTAACAATTTTTGCAAATTGATTAAGTCGGTCTTGTCGTTATAAGAATGTAATATCGTAATTGAGCCTATCTTTCCACACAGTCGATCGTATTTCGTCATGCTAATTAGCAAACCTCGTAGCTCCATATTCCCTCCTCTATTTTCTGTTTACTTCATGATAAAATATAATTATGAAAGAGAAGTAATAAATAACAAATCTAGCACCTTAAATAATGAGTTCCCAGTATTTATAAGTTCAACAATAAAAGAAACTAAAATTCTGCTTCCCGGCTATGTTTATTCTTTTCATTGCGAAACTGGAATTACGAGTAGGATGACTATATACGTTTTGAGCCGAGGCAATACCGAAAAACTTCTTTCTTTTCTGAAATTCTAAGTTTATGGAACGATTCTCTCACCCTAAAAGGCTCTTTGAAAATCACATCTTTAAATAATAAAATAATCAGTCATATCAATGTGTTTATTTTCAAGTTAACTTACAAAATTTGAGACATCTGAGACTGTTCGAAACATTAATGGTTAAAAAATATTAAATGGGTGGCGATACGAATTCTATTTTTATATATTTTGCGATACGTTAAAGGAACTACATTTAAACTACATGAACTATATTTTTTTATTTTCAACATTTTTGTGATGGAAGTTTCCGTAATATTTACAAAAAGTTACAAAAGCGCGAGGCCCGTAGTACGTGCTATATTATGCCTCGATATCATACTGTCCCTGAACATCATTTTATGTTTGCATTGATGTATGTAGATGAAAGCATCTAAAGTTCTCGGTCTTCTAAATCCAAACCATTTTCCATGGTTCGCGATATGAATATTAAACGTGCTTCGATTACTGTTCAAATAAAGCTGATCCAGGTCAGTTGATTGGAGCTGTGTAAGAGAGAGTTCATTTCTTGGTGGCTTGAAGGACGTGCCAATAAAAACATGTAACGCTCGTAAGAAATTAGTAATTATTTCTGCTAATAGGTTATACTCTCAGATGGTTGCATCAAAACTGGCAAAATACATTAAAAAAGTAGACTTCGAAGAAATGAAATAATCCTAAGCGCAATACGTCCTTAAGCCACTGGAAAATGTTCTACCTCTTACTCAGTCTCACTCGACAGCCGTGATCAAAAACTTTTAAAATTAAGAAATAAACAATTAGTAGCCGCAGACGAAACTCGATGTATATGCATATCGAATTTGTGGGAACTTGGTTGGCATTAGCTTGAATCTCATGCACTTACGATGCTTTTCATAAACATGCTTCACACCCACCAGCCCAAACATACAAATGGAGGGTTTTGAACCCATACAGCCATTAACGTCTACTTACGGAAGGTATTAAGTACCAAAAGGAAACGATGTCAGATTACCTTGTACTACTACAGTGAAATTTCAGGAATCACTTTATGGTAACTAATTGCTGCGGTGAAAAGCTCAAAATAAACTGTATACCATGTGTACGTATCACTACAATTAGAGATATACCATTACAATTAGAGATACCATTGTAATTTCTAAACAATTCTACATAAGTTTGGTAAGTTACATAGTGGGACACTGAGATGAATCTGAGAAATTAAATACAATAGAAATGTCTACTTGCTGTTTTGCTGCCGCGCCTGCTAAAGCACCACCCCTCACACATGAGCCAATCAGCAGTAGACGATTGCCATCAATATACTTTCACAGAGCAATAAACGGAAGTATACCTTCACATCTTACTACAACGTGCCAGATATGAACATAAGACCTTTATAGTTGATTAAATTCAAATTAAAAAGTGTCAAACTGATTCAATTTAGTATTAAACGGACGGATATTTACACGAAGAAGAGTATGTGATGCAATTAATTAAATTGATACTTTCTTTTTACTTCACTTTACAGAGAATGTGGTTACTTGACCTTTTCATAAAGAAATGAAACTATTTATTTTCTTTGTGCCTTCTACTGTTTTTTTTATTATGTCATTGTTGTATTTCTAAATATTCAGCATTGCTAAAAATATAAAGGAAATGTTCTTCACATAATCATCAACCGACTTAAATAACTTGCTGGGTAAATTAATAGGTCCCTGTCAGACTTGAAGGCTAGCTTTTATTACGAATATTATAGTCCCCCCGTCGCAAGGTCCCTTTCCATAAACGTTGCGAAGCGAAGAAATGCCATTCAGCACTCACATTTAAGACAGCTTTTTGAAAGCATAAATTTGCATTGTTTTGTAATACTAGGCACTGGCCTCACTCGAAAAATATGTCTTTTAACACTGTCATAAACTTGCTTGAGACGTGTAATGAGTTACACTGGCCATAGTGAACGCCTGCGACGCAGCCGGACAGCCTAGATCATGACTCTGGCCGCGGAAGCCTAAGACATTTTTTTATTCTTTGCTTTCTCTGAAGTACAGTACAAAAGGATGCAGAGTAACCAAGACATTAATTCACAGCAGTCACTGAATTATATTTTCAAGTAAGAAAGAATAATTTTTAAAAACAATCACACTGGACAATGAAAATTCCCAGCGTCAATTTTTTTTTTTTTTCATGGAGAGAGAAGAAGACGGTCAACGATGAGTGAAAACAGCAGAAGAAACACAAGACGAACTTACTCGGCCAGTTTCTTTTTTTCTCGTACCAGGTAGTACGTTAGGGTGACCAAGACCATCAGTGCACGTTATTCATTATTCTCACTGCCCTACACATTTGCGGCATTAATAAGTACGGACGATTCTCACTTTCTTGAAGAAACTTCACTTGACTCGTCACGAGAAGGAATTTTGAAAACTAGTTTTTCCAATAATATAACTTATTTTTACGGCAAACAGTCAATTTTTAACTTCTCAAGAATGTTGGTTGTAATAACCTAAACGTACACTTCTTTAGCAATTTTAGATTTTCATATTAAGAAAATGTAAATAATAGTAGTATTGATATTATTCTAAGTCTATGTGTGGTTACTAACTTCACAGAACAACGTACATGTTTCGCGTATTCCGTTGTTCACACAACTGACTCAGTAAATCTGAGGAAAAAAAAGGCTGCTCGTTTCAGGCAGACCATTGCACTATCAGTTGTTTATAAATGAACTTAATAGTCGCATTTCGTCAGAAGATTCTCATTTGAGACCGTGTGTGTGTTCCTGTGATTCATGGCATGACATAAGTCTCACGGTTGCATATGTTTGGTCACGATGCGTCGTGTCATTGTCGCCTCAAGTAGCAAGTACGGCGGAGAGCGGGCTGGCTACGTGCGCCGGTGAACTAATTATTTTTTTAATGTTCTTTATGTGTGTCCCACTTTTAAATTTGGCATATCTATACAAAATTAGTGTAGAAATACATGAACTTTTTAATAATTAATTTAAGTGTCGACCTAAAGTTAAAATTTTAAATTTAAAAATTAAAATATATTTTAAGTATTTAAGTAATATGTTTACAAAAATTATATTTACATCACACAAAAGTATATCTTTTGAAATTAAATTGAAGTGTAATTTTATTTTTCTTTGGAAAACGGTGTATGTACAAAATAATTAAACATTAGCGCGCGCATGATTCTTCGGAAAAAGTAAAAGACAATATTTCTGAAAGAGTTGGGATTAGAAAAAAGAAGAAAACAATACGTTTCACCTATTTTCATCCCTAGAACTCATAAAAAAATTTAGTCGCTAAAAAATAGTGATGTTTAGTGAGTGTGCGATTCCACGACTCATCGGTGATAGAAGGTGTGGCTAAAAGTTGAAAATTCGGGTCGAAGTGGAAGAATGAAGATAGGAAATGAAAATATGCGTCAGGTGAATCTTTTAAAAAGTATTTATGAAAATGCTAAATGTTGTTGGGAGTTGCGGACCATGATGCACCTACTGCTAATGTAAGATATCGGTTTTGGAGAACTTAATAGTCATGTTCGTGATACTAATCATCACACTGAGCAGACTTAGTGAGAATAGGTACCTATAATCACAATCTTCCAAAAAATATTTAGAAGGGAGTTAAATAGAGGAGCGATTCTGCGTAAATGGTTGAAGAATGGCAATTAGTTGTTTTGCTTTGCTAACCTAACAAATTATTTGTGGGATCCATGTGTTTAGTATCTGCCATATGTCTAGTATACGCCATATTTAACGGCAGAACAAGTTAATCCCTATAAGATTTGGTGGACCCTGCTTTTCTATGTACCCTTTAAAGAATTACTATCTACGTATTTAAAATTGGATGTTAGTATATAGAAGAACGGTAAACTCCGACACCTGATTTGATTTGATTTATTTGGTCAAAAAACAGTAAAAACTGTATGTGATGTAGGGGGAAGAAGGTTATCTGCTCACGTTTTCTTGAGTTCCAGAATCCCTTCCCGTCATTTTAACTATAAATAGTTGAAAAATGTGTAAAAGTTTAAAATAAATTTTAAAAATCGCAAGATTAGCAATATTTGAAAAATAGTCATTTTCGTTTCCGAGTTATAGAAAACTTATTTGCATCGGCACACGAATTGCAAGTATGATTTTCTGAGTCTTCATTGCTAACAAAATAGCAACTCGTTCTTACCTCTACTTTTACCACTACAAGCAAAAGGAGAGTTCACTAAAACGTGCGCATACTGAAGCTACATTTACGTCCAGAAGCAAAACAAGGGGCCATCTCAGCATTTGCTCAATGGATCAGGGAAATTGGACAAAAACCTGATCGAGATGGGGGTCATTGACCCGGAAGCTGAAGTACATTATTTCTTACAAATATATTAAGTCTTTTAAAACATATACAATACAAATGTAAACTAATTCATTATATATCACTGTTTTGTTAAAATAAATATTATTTTTCTTTTTTATAATCAGTATAGTCTCTAATTGTATAGAAACAGTTATGTAGCAGAAAAGATTTTACTTTTAACTTAAATTTGTGAACCGACTTCAATTATTTAGTTTCATCTGGCAGTGCGTTGTCAAGTAACATACATGTATTGTATGTGGATTTCTGATGGTGAGCTGTTGATATTGACATTTGATGAACGTTATTTTTACGACGTGTGTTGTAATTCTAAATATCAGTATTGCATGAAAATTTGTTCCCACCGTTAACGTGTTTTTTCACCCAGAAGATTTATGCAGCGTTAATTTTATTGTAACTTCACTAGATGGCGCTGCAGAACAAAATTGCGCTTCATTTTAATTCAATTTCCGTTCAAACTTCGCTCCACCGCGCGTCATTGTTGCCGAGCGTTGCCGTGACGCAAGGCGTGAGACCGGGACAGACACACGGAGGGGGACAGACATAAAGATAGACACAGACTGACAGAAGTCAGGGAGGGAGCAAGCGGGAGGTGAACGACTGAACCTCTGTTGGGTTCCGCTAGTTAAGAATAAAAATAACAACTATATCGGATAAGTTACGCACACTCATGCGCCACTTTGGCCTAGTCTGCCAGGGGACGTTGGTGGGATTGCGAACGCCACGAACACGGGAAGCTTGCGAAGCCTAGGGTAATCCCCAGAGGATTTTCTTCGAAACCTCACAACCGCCATGCCTTTCGCGGACGTCCCACACATTGCCAAACCACGATCTCAAAACACGAGGAGGAGGTAGCATTCGGTGTGCCTCTGCCACAGCAGTTTTTTATTTCCCTTCCATTGCACTGTAATTGCAGTACTATCAGTATTTAACAAAAAGAAGTTAATGAAATAATTTAAATAAGCTATCATTTCATAACAACTGTTATTTTAATTAATTAAAATATCAAATTATAACCTACTAAATTTAATAATTAATGAAAATAATCATAAAGCCTTTTTATACCCCTTTTTTTTTAATTATAAAATTGTGCCCTTCAATTTTTTTCCTCTTAGGATAGAGTCCAATACATGCAGCACAAGTAGACTAGTACTTCGCCTTTTTTGCACATGCACGTCTCTTGGAATGTTCTGTGGCACTAAGGCATATCAGCATTTGAACTAGTGATGTATGAAATCTAACAGTTTCTGATTGTACAGGTGGTAGCAGCACCGAACCAAGATCGCCTATGTCTGGCTGTAGCAGAAGCCTTGGAAAAAGGCTTTGGTGGATGGGAACCTCCTCCAGCTGCAGTTTGAAAAACTAAGTCACATGCAAATGAATGGTTGGAAATATTCATCAAATATCTTCCTCATTACTATGTGTTCATATGATGGGGACCACTGACTTAGTTCCTTATATATTTATTTGAAACATAATGTATGAATGAGTGGAAGAATGATGCACATTTTATTTTGATATTTCTTTGACCATAAAAAATGTACAAAGATGTACCTGATATAAATGAGTGCTTGTTAATGTTCTATTAAAGAATAAATTCTGGTCAAAATAAGTGTATTTATGTTATTTGTATAAATAAAGAAATGTTTAAATTTTGTTATGAGATGTTAATTTTAATTATTCATTTGAAATGTGGGGCCAGCCTTTACAACATCCATGCAACTAATCTTACAAAAGTAAATTAGAAATTGAAATATCATCATAATTCAGCATAAAGCTTTTTTTACTTGCATTGTGGTCATAATATATGTTAAAAAGTAGATAAATAAGTAAATAAATAATAAAATTTTTGAATTACGAATTGTAGAAAGAGGGAAAAACTAATTAAATTAAACTATGACAAAGTCAGGGCTTACAAGACAAAATCTAGGCCCAAATACTAAAAAGGTAAAATGAGGGCCCTCACAAAAGATTCTATAGACATGTACTACTATATGAGTAGTGTATTATTCAGTAATGTTTTATATTATAATTTCTTACAATTGATTATTTTGATACATTTAGATAACGCATATTATTTGGTGCTCACCTGTGTCACCCTGCTTTCCCTCAGAATCTGACATAATATGAACTGTGTTCCGTGAGATACTCAATTTTTAAAGGACTTAGCAAAATTCAAAAAGAGAAGGAATATTAAAAACCTAGTATATAAATGTTGGAATTATAATCAAAATTATGGAATGTGTTGGGCTTCTTGATCCCCTTGAGATTCACAGGTTCTGGAGCAATGTTCCTCCCTCTGAGCCTGGACAAAGTTAATATAAACGATGTATTTAATGTAAAATAACCTGAATAACTGATTTAAAATTGTTTAAATACGGAATGTGAAACCAATACAAAAAAAGGGAACAAAATATTTGTCATCAATTAAGTATAAAATGCACCATGTTCACCCACTTAATATAAAATACTAGAAATGATAAAATTGAATTTAGATGAGCAAGCTGATAAACCAATTCTCTGATGGCAGAGGGGAGGTAGAGAATCAGTTCATTAACAATCAAAATTGATCTCATTAAATGAAAAGAATCTGAAACTTTTCAAAATTATTTAGTACATGAGCTAATCCCATACCTGTACTAATTCTCTGACACTATCGATCCAATACTATTTCAAGTTGGAATTATTTTCCACTGTGTGAATCATAACTTTGCTTTTGTGACCTACAATTAGTGAGCTGCAACATTGTGGGTGGCATTTGTGAGAGGCATTTAAGCAGACATTCGCGAGCAGATGTATTGAAAAATTTTGAGAAAGGGTTCTTATTGTGAAAGTTGGCTGACCAATGCTACCTGCAATGCACTGTCTGCAGAGGTGCCCACAGAAAACTAGAGTTCTGAGTAGAAGATTCTTAGGGGTCCCTTATTTCAAACAAATATTCTCCCTGCCCAAATATATTTTTTTGCACAAAAAAAAAACCAAAATTAATTTTGCCTGCACTACAGTAAAATATTATTTTTCTTCAAAAATTATTGAAGACACAAAATTTTCAGTAAACAGAAAATTTTACAATAAATTGTAACAATTAATTGTAATTTAAACAGTTTACTGAAAACTATTTGTCATGTATTACGGTAAACTCATTTTGTAAAATATCCAACCATGTGTAAAAGGTTTTGTAGCAGTTACTTTGAATTAGAATTAAAAAAAGTATTTTTTGTCTTTGTTTTGAATGGACAAAATTTGGAATTAAAATAAAAGTTTGTAGTTCACATCATTTATAATGCTTGTAGTTTGTAATAGAAAAGGGGCCCAACTTTTCTGGTCAAATTGCAATATCAGCAATTTGCACAAATATCATACTTTTCACATTATAATGTCTAGCAAAGTTATGGAAGAGAGAAGGCCCAAATGAACCATACACACTTTCTCAAGCAAGAAACATTCCTTCAATTTTTACAATGAACTTTTGTCAAGAGCAAAAAATAATTTTAAAGTAAAAATTGTAACTGTAAAACAATTTTTTTATTCACATGATAAAATTTACAATACATAATACATATAATTCCATTTTATTTTAACTCCAAACATTGTAGGAGTTATTCAACAAAGAACTCATGTGAAGATTTTAACAATAGTATTTTGTGTGTTAGATCCACACAGACAATATGAATGTCAGATTTTAGTTGCACAGAGCATCACAATAAATATAATTTGATTTTTACTCACATCCAGTCACAGTTTTTCCTATCATCACATTTTCCTGACAAGCAGTGTACAAGCAAAACACTTCAGCAACAATTAAAAATGACCTCAAATGATACCATATTATTACTGATGATTTTTTGTTAATCTCCTTATATAATTAATCAATTTTATTCCCAATGAAATGACAACTTAATCAATAACTGTTTCAAATTGCAAGTCAGAAAGAAGGCAAATTGACAACAATTTTTAAGCAATACTGTAATTATAAATCAGAATTAAAATAAAATTTTAAAATCATTTTTACAGTAATTTCCCTCTTTCTCTGCTTTAAAAAATGTAATACGATGATACCTTCATGATTCCATGAAGAATCCATAATTCTCCACTCGCAATGCAATTGAAATGTTCACATCAATAAAAGAACACCTGTAAGTGCAAATAACATTTCAAAGGAAACCATGAACCATACATTGACTTTCCTAGTAAAATAGTGCAAACCAAGCACTACAATTTTGTAAATTTATATAAAAAGATATATGTGCTCATTTGAGGCTATGGTACAATACTAAGTGTTTTCTTTAACTAAAATATTAACATTAATCTTTACATTTGGAAATGTGCTATCATCTTACATTTTTCTTTTAGAATTTTATCTATCACATTGATGAAGCACATAAGGTAAAATTTAATACTACCTATTATTTCTTTCTATCTGCAGGTCGAACATATGGCTTTCCACCATGCTTTTCCCACTCACGGTTAAATTCTTGTTCCAAAATTTCAGCACCTCTCTTCCTTGTAAGTCCAGTTTCATCTAGACTTAGCTCGCACATCTGCATGTCATCTGTGCCTAAAATAGTAATTCAATTTATTTCATACAAAATGTTATAACTTTGAAATATTCTCCAGCTATTCTCCACCACTGTTTACCAACGCCGTTATTTTTCAAAAATTAGAGTGTCTTTAATTCATTTAACTGTTACTACATCGTCAAGTTATATTTTACTATTATCGATAAACTGTTACTTTGTTCCAGCCTTCTTTTTATTAAATACCACAAACACAGTACACATTACACCAGTTGTGATTGCTCTAAATTCATTCTTTTACAAGATAAATTGTTTTTAGTATGTCATCTGTGCCTAAAATAGTAATTCAATTTATTTCATACAAAATTGTATAACTTTGAATGTATGAATGAATTAATTAATCAATCAATTAATGGATACTCTACTAAGCACATTGTAATATTAATAGACTTCGAATTTTACACAATCTTTAACACAATCTTGAAAAATATAGAATGAAATGTGGGGAGGTAAATGGCTGATTCAGAACCATCCAAACTCATACAGAATAAATTGGCTTCAGTACTTAAATCAATATTTTTTGGGGTTCTTTCCCTCTCCCGTGAGGAAAGAGACTACCTTCCGCGAGAATAATGCGAACGACAACACGGATCCAAGTCCGGAATGAAGTCGTAATTATAATCTCAAACGTTTAAGGCGAATTGACGCTCCGCTACGCGTGTTTAATTTCAGGACGAGATTTTGGCATTCGTCCCACTCAATTATCACGAAACAGCCTCTCAAGCGCATAATTTCTCACGGATTGTACACAAAAATACTTTTTAATCAATTAAAACACACTCACTCTCATTTAAACTATGAAACAAACACAAATCCCCACTACTTATTGTTCGCTTTCGTTCACCAGTCTCATCGGAGTTCGGAGTCGATTCGTCACGATAAAGACTAAAAAGACTCGACAATACTTACCAGCAATTAATAGAATGGCTGGTTTATCAGGGTGCAACTCCATTTGACGAGCAACGTATTGGCCATCAAAATGAGCATACCACCAGCCACGTTTCTCTCCTCGTCCCGTTTGCCCGTCTGCAGGTGGTCTTACAAAAGGAATTCGGAAGTATCGTTGTGTTACATTGTTAACTGCCATCTTCATTGGAACATGTCTTGGCTTATTTCCTGCAAAAATTAATAAACCAATGCTTTATAAATAAACGATTCATTGGAAATATGGTTGACAGTTATCCTCATAGTAATAATTACCTTCTTCCAAAATGGAGCTTGGTGCTCGTTGATTTTCATCCAAAATTGCACGCTTCCTGTTCTTAGCTTTCCACGCATGGTAAACTTTAAGTCTACGATGAAACTCGATTTTGCAAGCCTGGTGACATTCATGATAATTAACTAAATATACTATCATTACACACATGTATTAGCATTTTTGAAAGTTTAACATAAGTACCTCAAGAAGTTCAATGTCACAAGATGTATTAATAGTGTCTCGTAATTCTGAGTACTTCCATTTTGTGAGATCGTACTTTTGCTTGCCCTGTGCTTCCTGGATGGAACGCACCAGAGGGGACCTGGAATATTTGCAAATCCATCAAGGAATCAGTAGAAGAAAAATCTGAATCATATAATGCAATCATTTTGGCACGATTAAATAAAAATAAAATATATAAATTTGATTAAGGTTTTATTTCTCAAGAATCGTTAAAAATTGTATACGACTGTTTTTAATATTTTTCAATTATAGTGACATTTTGTGTAACTCATAATCTCACTAATTACGTAATTCAGTTCAAATCTGACTACAGAATTCAAATCAAGGCTGAAATTTGTAAAAGCAAAAGTTAATTCAAACTAAAGGAAACAATTATCAAGAGCACCATTTCCCGTTCTTGTAGGGATCACAACTTCAAGGAATTATAGAATGTTCCTACAATAATTCAGTAAAATCTGTTTAAAGTGGAACCTGTACAATCCGGAAACCTGCCATAACCGGAAAATTTATCTGGCCCGTGAGGTTAAATGGCATTTTACACAGCATAAGACAGAATCTATCCAAACTGAACGATTTTTCATGCCCTGCGGGACGATAAACATTCATAAAACTGGAGTTCTGCGAATTTAATGCAATTGGTAGAGACGCGAGATATTATTCATGGAATTAATGCATCTGCAAATCTGTTTTAATTTTTCTGTCCCAATGGTATGAATTTCAGTCGTGGTAGCCGCACAGTGAAGGCGAGAATCTTCAGTTATGTGAGTAGAACTCGACCTTGGGGTTGCTTGTCTCTCAAGACCTATGCTTTAAGGGAATTCCCACTCTCCCAGGTCTCTAAGCGTGGGAAGATACACGGGCACGGCTTGTATTCACACTCTACAGGCCCCGCGTTGATAATCTTAACTCCTGGGCCAGAGCCGCATTCGTCAAGCCCATGCGAGGATATCAGATTTAGATTTGGATTTATTCAGTCCTTCAGAGGATATCAGAACGACATAGTACTCGGTGTTGTGACGGATTGTGCGTTGAGTCAGCGAGCAGTCCGGGTCCAGCCACTACGCAGCGATGTGGTGTGTTTTAGGACTTTCACGACCAGTTTAAGAATGGTTAAAAAACATAAAATTCTAAATATTCAAATTTTTAAACTTCAGATAACATAATTGAAAGGGGGTTAGTAAGTAGGTAAAACAGAAAGCAAAAAACTGTAAATAAATATTTGGAAAAAAATTATATTTCGTGCACAATTTATGGTTTTCCCTTTAATTGTCATAAATATGTTTAATATTCGTTTATCCGTGATTTCTTCCATAACTGTTATATGTTAATATATTTTTATAATTATAATAAAGTCTTGTAATTTACTAGTTTCCGGACGGAAATATTAATGTGTCAATAAATAGACAACCCTGCATAAAATGAAAACCTCTTAAACCGGAATAATTTTTTGTCCCGATCGATTCTGGCTTACACATATTTTTCAGTACTAGAACGTCGGAGATTCTATAACAACTAGTATTGCACAAGACTATTTCGCTCCATAGCGCCAAGACAACGAATACAAAATCCTCTAGATTGCAGTGTATCCCAGAACAAGTTTTCTCTCTCCTTAACGTCAGGGGTGAAAATAGTTAGGCCGAGAAAACTGTCGCTCAGTAGAACTTGCCACATCGCCACTTGAGTCACGATTTAAAATATCAATCGCAAAATGACAGATGTCGCGAAGTTAATGAGTCTAAACAAAAGTACAAATTATATAAAAAGGAAAAAGGGGAATGAAACAACAGGTGGTGGAAAAAGTGAGGATACGTTTTATTCCTTCTGCAAATGATAGAAACATAATTGCAACTGATTAGGTAAGTATTCGCGAGAAAATAGTAGTGATATTGATTCGGAAAGAATTAACGACAGCCTTCTGATTCAGTTTCGAAAAGAAATTTGTTCAAAATTTATTAATTAATTCATTATATTTACATACACAGTAAGACCGACGTTTCGCCTGTCATGTCGCAGGCTTCCTCTGAACAGTAGTCACAGACGAATGGTCATTGCCCGGAGGAAGCCTACGACATGACAGGAGAAATGCCAGCCTCTCAGCCAACAACGCAGCGTCACCCAGGCAGCCAAAAAGACAAAAATGTTCCATGTTAGGGCGCTCTGGCAAGTACAAGCGGCCAAATGAAATTTGCAATAACTACTTCGCCCAAAGGCATTGTTTAAACACTTTCCTATTTTCATCCAGTTGCTGCGATGACAGCATATCATTGTAATCATTATATTTCGAATGAAATATTTAATATATAAGAAATACATACGCAAAGCAAAATAACGTCATTTATATTAAATATAATGTTCGCAAAAGAAATAATTCAAAGAGTCAGCTGAAAAGTACATATGTGCATTAATTGTAATACAATCTCCATATAGTACCAAGTCCGTAAAGTCTACTGCATTACCAGTTGTCACTTCATACATACCGTTGGAAATAAATGTAGACAAAATTCTCATAGTCATCATTTTCGTATTCTTCAAAATCATCATCCGGAATATCTCGCAGGATGAGAAGAATTTGAACAGAAGTAAGACTTCTGGAAGACATATTTTAAGAAGTCGCCTTCGTAATAAATACAATTTATCGCAGCTCGGACGAACTAACACTTCCTTCGAAAGCAGAGAGACTAATCAATTTGGAAACAATCTGACGACCTGAATTATGATGCACTTGGAATCTGAAATCGAAGTCACGAACTGATAAATGAAATGATAAGAACAATAGAATATCACAGAAAATCTTGCAATAATAGGCAGGCACAGGGGCTACTCGAGGGGCCCAATGCATTAAGTCCAAAGGGCGAGTGTCTGTCATTGATTTCAGGGATTCCCGTGAAGTGCACCAGCCTAGCTACGCCCCTGCGGACACCATAATTGAAGCCTGCAAGAATATGGTAAAGGCCTACGTGAACTAATTTGTTGGTGTCGAAATAACATTCAGAAACGAATTAGGTAATCTACTGTATAAAAATTAAAATTATAAAAAGTTTTAATACATTCTTATTCCTAATAAAACACATCTGAAAGTCACGGGCATGCAGTGATTACTTTGTATACCCCAGCTGCTAGTGACCAACCAGCTTCCTCCCCTCCTTGTCCCAAGTTTTTGTTTGTGATCTGCTGTAATTGTGTCAATGCTAGTGTTGGCCTACCATTTTCAATTGTCTGAACCTTCTCGCAGAACAATCTCGTTGAAAATGGTCTCCTCAAAATATCATCAATTATAACATCACTGGACACATTACACAGAATTATTCCAGATACTCGTTAGACAAAGCATTTTTACTACACAGCAAAGTTACTACAAGTCCTCGCGAAATAATGAGTAAACACGACAACGCGTCGCAAACACTACAATGGATCACACTGCGTAACGCACGACCCTGACACGCACATTGATTCTCTAAGAAGAATATGCTGGGCTATTCACAAATTCGAGGATTCGAGGATCACATGCAAGTCGGAACTTCCTTCCTCCGAAAAAATAATTAAATCTCTACTGAACATTCTGGTTCACTCTCATCACATTGAGAGAGAAAAATGTTCCCCATAACCATTTTATAAGTTATAAACTTCTTGACAAACGGTACGTTAATTTACACTAACAAAACATTCCATTTAAAATAATTTTGCATTGTGGTAGCACTGGCTTATGAGTAATCACGTTCGCAGTCAGGACAAGCTAGGCGAGGCCTGGCCTTGAAGCAGCGGGAAGGGGTGAAACGTCATCCATTCCTAGCTAGCTAGATTTTAGTACATATCGGCTGCGGCTTCTCCCCGATCGCCGCCGCCTGGCTCTGGCCCAGTGAAGTAGATGCGCGCGCAACACCCAGGCCCAGCGAAGATATCAGAGCTGGGGATAGAACACTGCAGGAGCAGTAGATCGCCACTCAGATCGCTGTAGAGTGGACAGTTAGTGCAGAGTTTTTGATCATGTGACATACGGTTCATTGTAATTTTAATTCTCAAAATTAATTAAATTCTCATTTTTGCTTACACCAGCATTGCAGGGCATGAATGCACGCCATTGCTGAAAGTAATGACTTCTAAAAGATAGTGATTCTCAAGACAACTAAAATCACATTGCAAAATAATGCTGTCGATGGCGCAATAACATTATTGGGAATTCTAATGTTAATGTCTAATGTAATACATTAGTCTCGTCCATAAGCGTGGACACACGGGGAGAGCCGTGCCCTCTGAAAATTTTGAAAGAGGCCCCTTAACCCCACGGAATAAAACGTTTTATTTCCGAAAATGTGTTAAATTTCGGCTAAAACTTATGAACGGAACTATGGATATATTTTAAAATTTACACTGATTTAAATAGATGGACACATTAATTAATTCACTTGTGACTATATTTATACTTGTGAAATAATTTGATTGCCTTATTAATTAGAGAAAATAAATTTGCAAAATTGGATGCCTTATTTAGTTGTACAAGTCAATGCTTGTGCAGTCTGCATTTAACTTGTTGACTACAGCAAATTTTTAAATTATTAAAATTATTTGTTTGTTTATGACTTACTTCATAATTTTTTGCAATAAAGGTAGATATTTGTCAAAAATTGCAAAATAATAGCATATTTTGATTATATTTCACCTTGTGATTATTTAAAATTTACTGTTGCAACGGAGTTTCTTGAAATTGTTTCTGGACTTGTCATTTGAAAGTATAGAGTCAATGAGTTAATTTCAGTTCTTCAAAAAATAATACACATGTTGTCAATACACTCATTGAGCACATTATGACATGTAATTTTATGAATTTTATGAAATCATATTACATAAATAAAGCATTATGAATACGGCTCGGATGTTTATGACTTAAAAATGTTAGAAATAAACAAGCATTTATCACCTAAAAACATCAAAATATGACCATAAATATGACCATAAATATGACTTAAAAATTGTTGCATTTCAAAAACCTTCAAAATCTTTCCACTGCTTAGAAAACAAATTATATATTTAAAAAAATATACTCTTAAAATCTAGTACATTCACAATTCACCCCTTCCCCTCTGGCGCTTCATGAAGACAATTCTACAAGCTAAAGTTATTTATATAAGTGGTTATTCTTGGCACAAAACCTGACAAAAAACTTAACTTATTACTTCCTTTGCATCTGATATTTTCTTCAATTTATTTTTCCTCATTGTATGTAGCTTATCCTCCCAATTCACATACATATATATTTATAGGAAAGACAGACAATTAGATATAATAATTGTAAGGAATTAGATAACAGGAGTTGTGAAATATTTCTTTGAGATGGCTGTAAGCAAGTATGCGAAAATGGAATCAGATAAAAGGTACAAAGATTCTTGGAAAATAAGACAATAAATGACAAATTTATGGAAAATACCCAAAGGGTTAAAAAAAAGTCAAAATATGACTACATGACATGTGAAAATTGCACGATTTTAGTCATTGTAGATAAAATCATTTTTAACTAACATTTTTATTGGAAATAACCAAAGAAAAAAGTGACAAGTTATAAACGTCTGGGCCTTAGTCATAAAATGTGACAAATTTTTAAACATTCTAAAAATTTTGAAAAAATTAGAATTTGTCTAAAGAGTACCTACCTACACAGTATTGGGTGATTTCGAGGGAAAAACATGAAGGAAATTTCGAATCTGCTCATGATAGGTGGCCAATTTAGATTTAATTCTCCCCGAAAACTTCAAAAAATTGTCAAAATCCAAAAATTGTCCAATACCGCTAAAATATGTTTAAAATGTTCATCAAAATACCCTGAAAAAATGTGACCAAGTCAGAATCGATCCTTCCTACAACACAAATTGTCCTCACCCCCTCTTTTCTTTTTTATGCTGTGCATGTCTATGGGCCTATCCAATAGGATACACAATGATAAAATTACATTTGGCATTATTTTGTTAAAATGTAATAGTAATTTATTTTTCCAGTAAAGCTTTCAAACCTGTAGTGAATTGAGATATTGTATTGTAATGAATTTGTAATCCCCCTTGGACAAGAAATGGTGGCAAAAGATGATCAAGACAATATTTCATTATTAACTTGCAAATTAAATTTCATGCTCCAAAAACGCAATGCATACTCATGCATGACCTTTCATTTTGTTAGTGAAAAAAATAAAATAGGATTGAACTGAATATAAAATTGAATAATTAGTAAGATATCACAAGAAAACAAATAAGCCACCAATGTGCAACAACAATAATGTTATCAGAGAAACATCCCAAAAACAAAAATAAAAAATTACAAAAGATTCGATCCACCGTCAAAAAAAACTATTTTTAAAAATAATTTCAGGTGAGTAATAAATACTTTCAAATCAAGAGCAGAAGACACAAAATAACCATGCATCTTCACCACAAGGCTGTATGAAAGTAACAATTAATTTTTCTTAAATTAAAAGATTTCATGTGCAGAGCTAGTAATCAATTACCATATTCCACAATCACAAGCAACATCAAAAGTAAAGCAAACAAACTAGGAGGGAAAAGGAATACAAAATAATAAACCACTGAACTTTCGAAAATTCTAATGTACATTCATGCAACCACGCAAGGTATCTCTGGTGACAAGACAGGAGAAACATGACCCCTCCCCAATATATTGAAGTGCATCCAGTGGCTGTATTCTAACTTATTTTTTTGTAAGTAAAGATTTTTAGAATAATAATGCCAATAACATTCAGATTATGAAATGAAAATATGGTATGCACAAAAATGTTTAACTACGCATCATTGATCAAAAATGCATGGTCAAGGAATATTATGAAGATGTTCTTGATCTGGTATGCTACCCTTGTGAATTTGCATTTTCATAACCAACCAAGAAGAGAAACAAGCATATTCTTCCAATCAAAACTGCTCTGTCACCACCATCACCTCCTTAACTGTCCTAGTTTTGCAAGTTTATTATCGGAGTACATTAGTGAATTCACAACATTCTACAATATAACTTCTCCTGTTTTGATCTCCTGTGTATGATCTCCTTGTTAACTTCAATAAATCTTTAAAAAAATCAGCTAAAAAGGAAGCGAAAACCTCCGCAGAATTCTAGTCTAATGTCCTCACAGTTTTACATACCAGAGACACCCAGGCAACCACATGTTAAATATTATTTTTTACAACAGAAACATACAAAGCAACATGCAAAATACACCCAAAGAAGAAAGTTGAAAAACAACAAAGCGTGCAATGTGGGCAATACCTGTTGAACTTATTTGGCGTTGAATTCTTGACTTCTGTGCACGCTGACCTACTGTTGTATCACCATGAAAACAAGCAGAGAAGACATTGACCCCTTGAAACTGTACATTGGCATCCCAACACTCAACCCATAAAATAAAACCATGGAGAGTTTGGGAGGCAGTAAAGCAGTTTATGGCTACTCATTATTTTCAAAGAGCGCAGAAATTAATAGCAAAATTTAATTTATGACAAAAGTGAGAAAATATGATGCAGCAAAAAGTTCTTTTGAGTAGACAATGTGGATGGTATATTATTACTATTATCAAGATCTTCCCATTTCCAAAAAGACAAACAAATTGTTTTAAAAAAACATTAAAATACCTTACTAAGTTTCTGCGCTCTTGTTAACATTAGCATAGTCTCTTGACATTTAAACCATCAATATGAATCAAGAAGATAGTCTTGGTACATGAACAAAATATTAGTTAAGTAGTGCCTAATCTTAAATATTAAATGTTCAGAATTTTTTCATCTACCTCTTGAAATGTGAATTTTCTTACAAGAGTTTATCTTCAAATACAAATGGAAAAAACAAAAGTGGGAAGAAATAATTATTTCATTTATCTATGACCACAATCTCTTGCAAAACTTCTGGAAGTGCAGTACCCCGATATGAATTTACATAACAATACTCACACCACATGCACACAAAACTGTACAATCTGTACACAACAAAACAATCAAAGCCTGGATTTCACAACATAAGATAAAACAATTTTGGTATTTTCAGAGTAAATTGCTAGTTCACAAGGAATTATACAGATAAATGAAAACTGTAGCTCATTATCATAAGAAATTCTCATAAATATATAGATAACTGTTTTAACAATGTACTGTAATTATTTGTAACATTCAGAACAACACAATTCTTTGAACATCACAAATAAAATGCAAGAGTATTCAAGAGCCCACATTACTGATGTGAATATATTGCTTAGTGACAGGTGTGAATGAAGTTTTAAAATTATTATGCAAATTATTTCTAAAATTAAAGTAATAATTCAAAACAGTATAGAATATGTGTACCTCTTTTCAACATTATTGATTTCTTCTACAGCATCATTTGTTTCCTGAGCGAGACGAAGGGCTAATTCATGGTCCCTCTTTTCTTGCTCTAGACGTTCTCTGTAACTGCTGTCTTCCTTCTGCCACTTCTCCTAAAAGAAGGTAATGAAATTTAATACAAACTTTATACACTCAAAAGTGGAACAGCAAGTTTTGCAACAATTGCTTAATAAAAAATTATGTCCCCAAAGTAGAAGAAACACAACTGAGGTCTGATTTGTTTCACACACAAGAAAGAATTTCTTGCTTACCTGTAGAGCTTGGGCTGTCTTTCGATCTAAGTCCTCCTGTTTTTTACGCTGTTCTTCTTCTACTTTTCTACGTGCTTCCATTTCTACTTTCCTAATTACAAAATTTCTTAAAATTAGCATTTTAACATGACTGAATTGTAAAATGTTTTACATTTTTTAATAATATATCGAAGATTACAATGAACATGGAAACTTACATCTTTCTCATTTCTTCTTCTTCCCTCTTTTTGCGTTCTTCTTGTTCACGATGCTGCTTTTCCCGTTCCATTTCTTCTTGTATTTTCCTCAACCTTTCTTTCTCTTCTGCACCCTTTTGTTGTTCTAGTTTTGATTGTAACTGACTCATTTGTGTATTAGCTTTGTTCATTAGTTGGGTATATATTTCATTCACTTGAGTTGAAGTTATTTTGGATTCATTCTGTCAGAACGTATAGAAAAAAGAATAAAAAATTGAATTTAAATTGAATAATTTATATTGACTGTTAAGATTTGAATTAAAAGAGGAAATATATGTCAAATAAATTAATAAAACTAAAACTAAGAGAAGTTCTTCATAAAAATTACCTTAATCTTCTTAACCGCAACATCCATATCAGTTTGCAATTTCTTCAAATCATTGACACTGGATTCTTTATCCTTTTTCAATTGACTTATAATATTTTCCATCCGTTTCAACTTTTCCTGAAAAAAAAAAAAATCACTCACCTTCAGCATATAGAAAACAGACCTTTTTCTTCTTACAAAAGATGGATATGTATATAATTAACGGTTAAAATAATTTACTTCTTATTTATAATCTTATAAAATATCTACCAATATAAAATATCCAAATTATATATCAATATGGCTTCCATACTTTTGGACAATTTGATAATCATTGTTAATCAAATTAATTTAATTGTTTCTATAAACATTATATTGAGACAATCTCAGAGAATATTATGGTGCTATTATTTTGCGGTACCAGAGGTTCTTACAAATTTTCTAAAGGGCATGCTTTACATTAAAAGTTGATAGGAATGTGTAATAAGCAAGTAGGTAATATATGACTCTTACGAAACTCAAGTTTTTTTGCAAAATACAATATGAGATACAAAAGTTAAAATATGGAAAATATAGGGAATGGAACGGGAATGGAACGGGAATGGAACGGGAATGGAACGGGAATGGAACGGGAATGGAACGGAAATGGAACGGGAATGGAACGGGAATGGAACGGGATTGGAATGGGAATGGAATGGGAATGGAATGGGATTGGAATGGGAATGGAATGGGAATGGAATGGGACAGAATAGGATAGAATTGTATAAAAAGTCATACAAAAAATTCAAATTATTTAGCAAAAAGATGTACTCACCTTCAGGCCATTTATTTTCATAATACCTTGATAGCGATGTTGATGTTGTTTCTTGGCTAAGAACATTCTAACCCATTTCTGGATTGTAATCAAGTTACCTCTTCTATACAGAATTTTATATTTCACTGAAAGAATAACCATCTCATTTTATTGATAAAAAACAAATTTGATTCTAGAGTTTTGAAAAAAAATTCATGGTGAAGTAATATAATTAGAAAAAAAAGAAACCGTAATTGAACATACACTTGATAACAGAGAGAGCACACCACTGAGACTTCTTCCATTTAGATACCACCAGCCACTTTTGAACCTTTGCAACCATAGCAGAAAGACTCTCAGGATCCGATTTCATAATAGCATCAAATTCAGCAAATTTTCCTGGCCTGAAGAACACTTTGGTGACACCAAAACGATAATCACTTTCAGTCATACCCAGAGCTCGAAGTAATGCCTAAAACGAAATTAGCAAGTACATAAAACTTCTATAAAAATTACTAATATTTCATATACATGTTGTGAAAAAGCAACATACCTTGCAAAAAGTTCGTGGATCCAATTTTGCAAGTTTCGGGGGTAATATCTTACTATACATATTGTGCAAGTCTACAAAGGACACACGAGATGGAAATCCTGTCTGCATGAGTTCTAGGACACTTGTCATTCCTGAACATTCCAACTGAGATAGAATGGAACCTCCTTCAAACAAATGATCAACCATTTTCTGATTTGGCTTTATGCACCGAATGAAGTTTGTCCCCTGTAATTAAACATTTCAAATATTCAGAAATTAAAACGAGATATCTATGTAAATAAACTATTACATTACAATGAAATCTGTAATAATTAAGAAAAACAAAACTCACTGTGCTCCTTAGCTTTTCCATAAGTGTGCTAAGTTGAGACTTGAATTTTGAACCAACGCTGTCGAAAGTCAGTTTACCTTTGTTTTGTCCAAGAGATGATGTGGCAAACAGACCATGTAAGAATTGATTTTTACTTTCTTGAACTAAGCCTTCCAAAGAAGCATGAAGTGCATCATTATTCTTTTCAATAAATTGGGCCTACAACAAAATAACTTTATGAGCCATTTAAAAAGGAAAAAGACCAATTGTGAAAATAATTCTTCAAATAATAAATCATTTCATTAGAAAAAACATACAGTTTGATAACAAACAGCTCCAGCATAATGTCTGATCATGAAACCTTCATCATCACGAATTTCTCGATGTGCTTTCAGTTTTGAAGCTCTTGGAAGAGCTAATCGGAAATGTGATGTCCACTGCCTGTGCACTTCCATAGTGAAATGCTGAGCACTGTGTTTTGGCAGTTTTGATTCTTCATCAAGGAGACTGAAAATTCCTCCTCCTTTTGTTTCAATTAGATCTGTGAAAACAAGAAACACGTGAAGAGAAAACAAAACAAGCACATTCATTCATCAAATGATTCTCTTGCACATTCATTATTTCATCCATTCATTCATTCATTCATTCATTCATATTCATAAGATTAAAAATGAAAATAGAACATTCAGAAGGAAAATCATTCATTTGCACACTCATTCATCCAATGATTCTCTTGCACATTCATTAATTCATCCATTCATTCATTCATTCATATTCATAAGATTAAAAATGAAAATAGAACATTCAGAAGGAGTAATTTTCAGAAATTAAATACAGAAATCAAATCTTTGTAGAGAGACTTTAAAATAATGACAAAACAACATCAACAAGATTTTCATGAAATCAAAGAGAAATAAAAATCTCATCTTTCGAGAAGTAAAGATATGTGTTAATATCATACCTTTCTTGGGTGTAAAAATCACCAATTGATTATTAATATTTTTTTAAAATAAGAAATAATTATCTTACCAATGCAATCCTGATTGTCACGATATTCTATTTTTGGGACATTGAGGGCCTCTTTTTGATACAACTCTTGTTCATCTTTCAATATCCTTTCATTAAAAAATTGCTGCAACTTTTCATTGCAATAGTTAATGCAAAACTGTTCAAAACTGTTCACAGTAAAGTATTCTAAAAAAAAAAAGTATATTTGGTGAGTCACAAGTTCACATAAATTCTATATTACTTACAAAGTTATTGTATCTAAATATTTCAGAGGAAGTGATGATATGAAGAATATGTCTTAGTGTATTCTTATAAATATCACTAGTACTTACCAAATCCTGCTATATCCAAAACTCCAATATAATAACTAGATGCTTTGAAGGGAATAGATTTGTTGATTCGTAAAATTATGTAATCAAATAGCCTACTGTAAGTGGCTTTTGCCAAGGCATCTCTTGCATTATTTGCTTCATATACTTTCAAGGGAACCCTAAAAAGAAAATTTGCTTGATAAAACAAGGAATTATGGTGGAATACAACAATTGCACATCAATGTTTCCCTTTGTAAATAATGATTCTGTAATATTATGTTTACTTATTACAAATTTATAGTCACTTTATTTCAATTTTTACTAATTATGTTACTTACATAATTACTGTTCCTTTTACCCCTCCTCGGCTTGTTTGCAATACTTTTGATACAAGGGCTTGCCGAAGCTCTTCTGGGTCCACTCCCATTAATTTTGAAGCTTGGCTCAAGGCCTTCTCAGAGTCAGCACATACTCTACAACCACCCTTTGAATCTTCTGGATTATCTTCAAAGGCAACATTTCCTAGATGTAAGACTGCAGCAACTGTACTGTATACATCAAGACGTTCATTTTCACTCATTCCTAATCGCCCTAAAGCCTATAAAAAATAAATTGTAAGCTTTTTATCTCACAATATACATTATCACAACTTTCCTCCAATTTTATAGAGCTTTTTAGTAGTTAATGAGTCACACTTACCTCATCCATTGCTTTGAAATCTTCAACATCATCCAACAAAGGGTCACGTAAGGAACCTTTGGCTTGCTGTGATTTACTCTTCTGGGCATTGTTAATTTTCTTCTCGGAAGCTGTAGAAGTGAAGTATTGTGTACACCCATTCTTCAAGTACTAAAAATAAAAGAAAATATTGTTATTCCATACTTTTATCATCAAAAGCCCCATAGATTTGCATATTAAAACATTTGCTTACTTGAAAATCATCTGGTTTTGTAATATTGAGTTGGTTTCTTAATTTCTCTGGAGCACCAGCACACAACAGATAGAACACATGATAATTGCGTTCATCTGTACTCTGTGTACATATTCTTGATTTTTCCAGAAGGTAGTGAGAAATGTAACCACCAACCACTTGACAACGACTATCAAAATGAACTTCCATGAACTTTCCAAATCTGCTGCTGTTATTGTTGCGTGTAGTTTTAGCATTACCAAATGCTTCCATAATTGGATTTGCTGAAAGAATATTTATGATGCTATCAAATTGAAAACCCATTTTTCTCAAAAACGCATTTGAAGAAAAGAAAACCTCTACTTAATGTTTGTGGTTAAAATATTTTTAGTGTCCTAAACTAAGGTATGACTCACCGTCAAGAATTTTTTGTTCTATAGGTCCAGCAGCAGATCCCCATAAATCACATAAGTATCTTAGAAGGTACTTAGTTGACTCTGTTTTACCGGCACCTGACTCTCCAGACACAATTATAGATTGGGATTGTTTCAGTACTTTCATATCACGAAATGCCTTGTCACCTAAAGGAAAAAGGCAAATTCAAAAGAAGTCAAAATTTAACCTGTCAACAAAATTATTATTAAGGAGAAATAAGGATGGCACATACCTATTGCAAATACATGAGGTGGCAAAACACCCAATGATTTTCCTTGATATTTCTTGATTGTGTTTGATGAATAGAGATCTTTAATTTCAAAGTAAGGGTTCACTGCTATGAGTATGTTGGCCACATAGGTCTGTCAATAAAAAAAATTATAAAACATACTACAGAAAATAAAAAATTACATTATTTTATAAAACATTATCTACATTTATATATTTAGCAGATGAATAAGATGATGTTGACCTAACTCAATACTCTCAGGTCTGTTTAGAAACTTGAGTAAATTTACTACCTGATAGAGAAAATAATGAAATGCAACTGAAAAAGAAATGGCACAACACTATGAAAAAGGAACTCTGTTTCATTCATAATGCATTTTTCTCATGATATAACTGGGTTTTGAACTTTGGAAGCTTGAAAATGCCTGACCAAGAACTAGCATTAAAAGGCAAGCATAGAATCTATCTTAAGAATAAGGGTGGTCTCCATGACAATTTAAGACAGTTCAAAAAATATTATCTATAGATATCAAAATTATTACATTAAAAAATACTTACATAAATTTTGTCTTTTTTGTATCGAAGTCGAATGTTATTAAGAAGAGTGGCAGGGTTCAGGTACATCAAGGCACCTGAAATACAATTTCAGTTAATTGTAAGCATTTTGTAAATCTCTCAATTATTATGAAGTGAAGCACAAAAAAATATGCATATACACATTACTTGAAAAGTGTTAAAACTATCTACATTTTCATTCAATGCTTTTCATATAAAATTAAAGATTGCATACACTAACTCTTTCAGGATACTTTTGTATTTATTGTTACCCAAGTACATGGACATACGACAAAAATAGAACTACGATATCACTATGGATCAATTAAAGTTCACCAATATATTGGAATGGATACTTAATAATAATAATAATAATAATAATAATAATAATAATAATAATAATAATAATATTAATAATAATATT